CATGGCATTGGTAAGATTATTGGCTCAATTAATTAGATTAAGAGCACATTTCCCTAATTTCCCCATCAAGAAAATACATCTTGATAATGCTGGTGAATTTACTTCACAAGCTTTCAATGATTATTGGATGTCTCTTGGGATTGATGTTGAACATCTTGTGGCTCATGTGCACACATAAAATGGACTTACAGAATTATTGATCAAATGTTTACAATTAATTGTGAGACCATTACTTATGAGATCAAATCTCCCAATTTCTGCTTGGGGGACATGCAATTTTGCATGCAACAATATTAATTCGCATTAGGCCAACAAGTTATCTCAAGTCCTCCCTTTACAAGTGGTTTTTGGTTAGGAATCCAATATTTCCCATCTAAGAACCTTTGGATGTACTGTATATGTTCCAATTGCTCCCCCACAATATACCAAGATGGGGCCTCAAAGAAGGATGGGAATATATATTGGATATGATCCAGCTATAATAAAATATCTAGAACCATCACAGGAGATTTGTTCACGGCTCGATTTACCGATTGTCATTTTGATGAGTTATTTTTTCCAACAATGAGGGGAGAAAATAAGAAGTTGAAAAATGACATTAGCTAGAAAGAATTATCACTATCTCAACTTGATCCTCGCACAAAAGAATGTGAACTGGAAGTTCAAAAGATATTCAATTTACAAAGTCTAGCTAATCAATTACCAGATGCATTTACTAACCCAAAGAGAGTAACAAAATCACATATTCCAGCTGTTAATGCTCCTATTAAAATTGATGTCCCTGATGTGTGCCAATTGTGAATGATTCTAAAGCACGCATGAAGCATGGTAGGCCCATTGGCTCCAAAGATAAAAATCCTCGAAAGAAAAAAGTAGCCAAAAGTATAGATGACCTAGTCGAGAATAATTTAGAAAAGTTAGCAACTCTAGAAGAGTCATTAGACAACGCTAATGTCCCAATTCTCAGTGAAAGTCAGGTACCTAAAATATGTGAAAATGATGAGATCTCAATTAATTATTTTATGAATGGAATACGATGGGAACGAAGTAAAGTTGATGTCGATGATATTTTCTCTTGTAACGTGGCGCTCAATGTGATGAATGATAATAAGGATCATGAACCAAAGTCAATTAGTGAATGTAAACAAAGAAAGGATTGGTCAAAATGGAAAGATGCAATTGAGACAGAATTAAAATCGCTAGAACAGCGAAAAGTTTTTGGACCAGTAGTCCTTACACCTGAAGATGTAAAACTAGTTGGATAGAAATGGGTTTTTGTGCAAAAGAGAAATGAAAAGGGTGAAATCATTAGATACAAGGCATGACTTGTTACCCAAGGGTTTACACAAAGACCTGGTATCGATTTTGAAGAAACTTATTCACCAGTAGTGGATGCAACTACTTTTCGATACTTGATTAGCCTTGCAGTAAATAAAGAGCTCAATTTACATCTAATGGATGTTGTTACAGCCTATCTGTATGGCTCACTTGACAATGACATTTATATGAGACTCCCTGAAGGGTTGAAATTGCCAGAAGCATACAATTCAAACTCTCGAGGACAGTACTCAATTAAGTTAAACAAATCCCTATATGGATTAAAGCAATCGGGACGAATGTGGTATAACAGGCTTAGTGAGTATCTATTGAGGGAAGGATATAAAAATAATGCAATATACCCATGCATTTTTATGAAAAGATCAAGAAATGAGTTTGTTATAATCGCTGTGTATGTTGATGATATAAATATTATTAGAACTCCTGAAGAGCTTGAAAAGGCAGTAAATTACCTAAAGAAAGAATTTGAAATGAAGGATCTAGGAAGAACAAAATTTTTCCTTGGATTACAAATTGAGTATTTGAAAAATGGAATTTTTGTATATCAAGAAACTTATACAAAAAGGATTCTAGAACGTTTTTATATGGATAAATCACATTCATTATGTACTCCAATGGTTGTAAGATCTTTGGAGGTAGATAAGGACCCTTTTAGACCTCAAGAAATTAGGAAAAAAGGTGATAAAGAGCTACTTGGTCCAAAAGTACCATATCTTAGTGCAATTGGAGCACTAATGTATCTTTCTAATCATACGCGACCTGATATATCATTTGTAGTCAACTTGCTAGCAAGATATAGTTCTTCACCGACACAAAGGCATTGGAATGGAGTTAAACACATCCTTCGTTATCTTAAGGGTACAATGGACATGGGATTATTTTATTTGAATGTATCCAAAACCGATCTTGTTGGCTATGCAAATGCTGGATTTCAGTTTGACCCACATGCGGTAAATCATAAACTGGCTATCTATTCACATGTGGTGGTATAGCCATTTCATGACAATCTATGAAACAAACTATATCAGCTACATCATATAACCATGCAGAGATTCTAGCAATGCATGAAGAAAGTCGACAATGTGTATGGTTAAGGTCCTTAATACATCACATACGAACTGCTTGTGGCTTGTCTTCTGGTAAAATGATCCCAACAATACTATGCGAAGATAATACATCATGTATTATCCAACTGAAAGAAGGGTACATCAAAGGAGATAGAACAAAGCATATCTCCCCAAAATTCTTCTTCACTCGTGACCTTCAAAAGGATGATGAAGTCAATATCCAGCAATTCATTCCAGTGAAAATTTAGCAGACTTATTCACCAAATCACTTCCAGCCACCACGTTCGAGAGACTTGTTCATGACATTGGGCTTTGCAGACTTAGAGATATCAACTGACATTGTCAAGAGGGGGAGTAAACGTATGATGTACTCTTTTTTCCTTGTCTATGGTTTTTCCCATTGGGTTTTCCTAACGACGTTTTTAATGAGGCAGCACTATGAAATCTATATCAATAAATATTGCACTCTTTTTCTTCTACTAGGTTTTGTCCCACAGGGTTTTCTTAGTAAAAGTTTTTTAATGAAGTACATATTTAGTTATGGACATCCAAGGGGGAATGTTATGAATATGGATGTCCACGTATCTACTATTATCTCCCTTATATCCAAGTATCTTCACTATTTCCTATTATCCCCATTATCTACAATTATCTTTTATCATTATATCTGTAGATTCTATCAAAGATGTAAACTTGTGCCTATAAATAGAGGCCATGTATAATGTATTCAGCATCCTTGAATGGAATAAGAAATACTCTTTCTTATTGCTATTCTTTTCTTCTCTATTCTTCTTCTTTATTTATAACACTTTTTCAATATATTATATTTTTGTCTTTTAGATTAATTTTAATCATAATTAGTCATTTAATATTAACTTTATGACTAGTATGATACTATTAGATATCAGATTTGGCTCTAAATTTCCAAAAACAAGGGACTAAATTAAAGTAAAAAAATTATATAACGTAAATGATAAAATAAATTACAACCATGAAAAAAGTGTTTTTTTTTTTAACAAAAGGCAAAATGAACATATATAATTACAACAAGCTTTAATTATGATATATCTGCCTTTTTACCTCTCGTTATGTACCAAAGCACCTGTAAATAATAGGAAATTGTAAAAAAGTGATATAATTAATATAAGAAAAATGACCTAAGTATTTTTCTGACAATAAAAACTTATAAAACCATTATTTTATCTTGCTTTAAGAATTTTAAAATAGATCCCTAGAATTTGGAGCAACACGAATGGGCTACATTGCGGAGCTAATAAGGATATAATTCTTTTTTTTTTATAAATTTCTGTTTGTTAAAATGATAGTGTATTCCTTAATCCTTTAAAAAAAATAGAACGTTGTTATATTTATAGTTTATGAAAAATTTGAATAATTCAATTCCTTTTATTTCTTTTCTTTTTTGGTATAGATCAGAGTATCCTCAAGTCACTTTGGGTTTGGGATTAATTTTTATCAGGCAGGGAGCATTAAGGAAAAACCCTCCCAACAAATATATTTTTCAAGACTTGAACTTGTGTTCTCCTCACTGGTTATCATTTATATTAACAGCTTGTTGGTAATTCAAATCCTTTATTTCCATTTTGAATCCTTGTTTATGTAGTTTATTTTGTTGAAATTGATAAATACTCTTCTGGTCCTATTTATAAGGCAGAAAGAGAAGTCTTTTTTAGTCCTATTTATGAGTCACTTCATTAAATATTTATCATGAATGTATTGTATTGTCTTTCATTTATTATAGTGTAGATAGTTATTTATTTTGAAAAGTGTATATATTAAATATGGGTAAAGTTGAAAAGTTGTTATATTTTAATAAAGAGTTAATGCAATTTAAGGTTTTCTTTGGTCTGTGTGAAACATGTTGGAATTACCTTATAAATAGGACCAGATGAGTATTTAATTTGATAATATTTATTTATGAAAATTTATGGATAATAAAACAGCATTAAACAAAAAAAATTTCAAAGTGTCCATAAAATTTTACAAATTAAAATTAATAGGTTTTACATTTAAAGATGAATACTTATAAGGAAACAAATTATAACGAGCTAATTCAAACAAAATAAATTATAGAGTAAATATACATTTGGTGGTTTCGGTTTAATCTGCTAACTTTAAAAAGTATATATCTAGTTCCTTAACCCTAAAATCATTAGGCTTAAATGATTTTTTTTGTAATAGTAATAGCTTTTTTAAAAAAAATTAAACTTACTATATTAGTATTTGAGAATGTTTTATCAAATTAAAGCTCTCTATAAAATTAAAATAATAAATGTATATTTTATCTTAAATTATAAGAAATTTAAAATCTTACTTTTTTCGAATACGTTTGAAATGAGTAAAATAATTTTCAAAAAATAAAATTTCTTAAATATTGTCCAAATATTATCTGTTTTTTTTTTTTGGGAAATTGTGAAATACTCCATGCGTGCCAAAAATTCAATTATATCCTAAAACAGAATGGTCCACTGCCGTGTGAATGGCATGATGAATTCAACTACACACCAACTGTCACGCGCCTTGACTCTTTTTCGTCGTTCTCCTCTGTCACGCTTTCTACTCTCTTTTGGTCTTTTCTCTTAGTCTTACCATTGTTACGAGCACCACTCCCTCTCTCTCATCGCCGTTCTTTAAAGTCAGCTTGCTTGTCCTCCCTTCTGAAATCTTGTCGTTGCTGCTGCTTCTTCTTCTTCTTATTCTTATTCTTTGCTTTTCATTCTTTCGTTTTCTTTTCTTGTTCTTCAACATGCCGCTTCCGTGGAAGAAGACCAAGATCACTCACTTCTCCCAAATCGTCGCCGATCTTCAGTCTGCCAAACATGGCGGCTCTCTTGTCGTTGAAACCGGCTTTCCCACTTCCCTCATTGACCTCTTCGTCAAGAATCGAAGCCGTTTCCAGAAACGGAACTCTAAGAAACACCTCCCGATGGAGATCTCTGATCCTCAACCTCTACTGCCAGCTCCTCCGCCGTCGCCGTCGAGTCTAGCTACTAGTCTGAAGGTTTCTCCCGTAAGGTTCGTTTGTGAAACCGTTCGCGAAGACATTCTTGAAGGTGAGAATTCAGTTTGCAGTTTTATCCCGGTCGGCGAATGCCGTGAGGTATTCGATCCGATGCCATCAAGGACGCCTTCGAATTCAGCAGATATTATGAAGGTTTCTGTTGAGACGAGGGACTCAGAGGTTCACCTGAGCTCGTCGGTTCCGAAAGACGTTCATAAACACATCAATGGTGTTGATGATTCGGGTCGGGTTCTTGATCGGGTTTGCAAGTCCAAACCAAATATGGTTCTGGCTACCGTTTTGAATTTGATTGCGATGCTGGTTTTAATTTTGTCGGTCAAGAAGCTAATTGTTGGGATTATTTTGTCCGCATTTTTGTTACTATTATTTGAATTTGTTGGAAAACGTACGGCTTCTTGCTTGAATCTGAAGCCATGTCGGAGTACAAACAAGGAATCCAGATCTCTGGTCTCAAGAGTTTCATGTTCATTTTGGTTTCAAGCAGAGAAAATGCAGAATTATACAGTTTCAGAACAAAAATCGTTAGTTCATGAAGGGGCCGCCGATGAATTGTGCCCTGCTTGTCCGTCAATTGAAGAAATCGAAGTAGTTCAAGCCACAGGGAGTGAGATAGATATACGCAGTGAACTCAATTCTATCAACAGAGACCAGAAATTGGTTTGTCCAGAAATTGAAGAAGACGAGCCCAAGAGGGAAGTAGCAGATGAATGTAAACTTTCTGAAGGTAGAAGAAAAGGTAAAGATAGGGCCGAATTAAAATCCAAAATGATGACGATCCTTGTGCCTAGGAAGTTGAGAGCCACAAAAAAGAAGAAAGAAAAGAAAAGCAAAAGCAAAAGTGAAGTTTTGAGCTCCATGGAAGGAGTAAAATCAACAAGTTTTGAGATAGAAGATCAAGAAAACGTGATCCAAAGAGGTAAACTGGTGTGTGTAGAAGAAGAGGAGAAGGCTGATTACGGAACATCTTGTTCCATGGTTGAATCTGGAAGAACAAACAGTGCTGGGAATTCAGAATGTATTCTAATAATTCTTATTGCTCTTTTTGGGCTTGTAGGAGGAAGAACCTTGGGAGTTTTATTTACAATGGCTGGTTGTTTTATGATAAAAATGTTGAAGAGAAGACTAGAGGGAGATCACTGAATAATTTAGTGGTAAAAGAGCGTGAAAATTAAGTGGAGTTTCGCGAAAACTTGACCCCAATTTCCTTTGTTCTTTAGGTTTTTCTTTGGCATAATCGTAGTTGCTTGCGTATACAATTGGTGAAGTTTCTTGTAACTCTAAACATTTGTTGGGAATCCAACGTGGTGCTCGTATTGTATACTCAAACCTAAATTCATAGATACTTTCTTTATATTATTTGTTTTATTAATTGCAGCAGCTTCCTTCTCTATTTGATGATCTACAATGGGAACGGTTCTAATTTATTGAACCTTTGGCAACTTTTCCAACCCTTTTTGCTAAGGAACTGAAACTTTATCAACTATTACTCATGGCTATAAAAGTAAATATTGAGAAAAAGACAGAAAAATAATAGTTAAATGGTGAAATCCCCAAATAGCCGCCTAAATAAGCAAAATTTTAGTTTATGCATATCTAACTAAATTGGAATTTGCAAATTTACTGAAGTGATGAGATTGTCCTTTATTTAAAAAAAAAAAAAAAAAGCACCTTCGCTGGTTGGCCAATTGTCAATGGCCAGAGCTCCAACAACTGGTGGTAGGCAACTAATTTTTTGGATATTTTTTCAAGTCTAGTGATGCGGTTAACAAATTTTTAATGTTATTAACAGATTCGATATAGCAGTTAGCAACAGGTTTTTTTAAAAATTAAAAAATGGATAGTTTTATAACTTCAATAACACCATTAACAAGTTCTATAATGCTATTAACAAGTTCGGTATAACGGTTAACAATAGATTTTTTAAAAAAGTTCAAAAAGTGACATTTTTAAAATTTTAATAACGTGGTTAACAAGTTCTATAACGACATTAACAACTCTAATAACAAGTCATGTAATGATATTAACAATTCTCATAACCATAGTGATTACCTAATAAATAGAAAAATTTTGTTATATTACCTTTATAGGGAACAAATATTAAGAATATTAACCTTCATAGGGAAATTTTTTTAACGGTGCTATGAAAGTTCTTAATATTGTTATATGACTTACAATAGCGCTACAAAACTTGGGTTCATAGATACTATTCATGTTTATAAGCAAGTGTGGGTTTTTCAGACATCTAATTTGGGCTTTGACTAAAGTTGAATCACGTTCTGGAACTCCCATATGGTTCATAACATAATGTATTTGGGCCCAAATTTAGATGATTATAGTTTTGATAAACTCCTCCATGCATATAATTGTTTTAGGCCTTTAATTAATGTGGGAATTGAGTTCAAATGCTTTTTTTAGGCTCTTAGAATGTAACATCTTAACTTAAAACCATATATGGAGCCAAAACATATCAAATGGAATCACATTGTATGGTGTTAAGCTTAGAAAATCATACTTTGAAAAATTACTTTATTGGGTTACTATTCACTTAGTAATTTTAAAATTTGGCTAATTATGAAAATTCATAACTAATTTTAGAAAATCGAAACGAGTTGCTTCCATGTTCTATTTGAATGCCATTCATTTCTTCACATAGAAAAAATAGTCAATGGTTAATTACTCATTCTATTTAAGCTCCATTTTTTTTTTATAAAAAGTATTGTTCATTTGGTCAATTTTTATTTTTCATCCTTTTACCATAAATTCAAAAATTCATAACTTCTTGTATGAAACTCTAAATTAGGTGAGCTACCACTCATTTAAAGCTTAGCATGTGAAATTTAAGATTACCAAATTTCACGTCCAGATTTCATCACTTGGTAAGAAAAGTCACGGCCTCAAAGACTAGGTTTTTCAAGTATTTCTATCCTTTTTAATTGCCTTAACTTAAGAAATCTAATCCCTAACTTCCATTTTTCCCGTAAACCATTCATACGATCATGTATTATGCATCATAATACCTCCCAAGAGGTGGAAGCAGTAATCCATACAAACATACATTAAGTATACATTACATTACATATATAGTTCTACTCATAATCCATAATTACATAACATTGAAAAGTTCATAATCGCATGACAAGTAATGCAAGCTTCCTTTAGGCCTCCATATTCTTTCTTTTCTCTCTTGGTGAACCAACTCTAATTGTGTAAATTATAAAGGAAGGGGGTGTGCCACATCCCAATTTTTAGGTCTAGAAGCCTAGAAATTATCCTAAAGAAGGTAGGCTACCAAGCCCATTTGAGTAGAAGTCCCAGAGATACAAAAGGAAGCTAGAACGGGAATAGGGACTAAATTGCAAAGTGAAAAAGTTTCTAGAGGCAAGGTGTAATTAAAGTTAGAGGCTCCTGTAAAGTCTCGAGGGCTCAAAAATAGAAAAAAAAAAGTTATTTATCAGCCTAAGGTTTAGGTTGAGGCCACAAAGTGATGATTTATGATGTTAAGCCAAAATAGGGGCAAAATTCTAATTTCAAAAAGTTTCGGGTCAATATGGGCAAAACTATAATTATAAAAAGTTTCGGGCCTAATTTGATTGTTTATCTTACTTGTTTAATGTGATTATGTTGCTTGCTTGAATTGAGGAATTTATATGGTGATAATGATTGACTTTATGACATTGATTGTGCTTTGGCCAAATGCATAGAAATATGTCAATGTGAAAGTGTTGATGTTCTTCTTTTAGTATGATGCAAAATATGAATTTATGTGACTTGAGAATGTCTTAAAGTTTTATAACATGTCACATTATACTTGCTTGATTTACATGATGATTGTAATTCATTGCTACTGAGATTTCAAAGAAATCTCGTTCCCCTCAATGTATAAATAATCAATAGGAACCCCCGAAGGATACGTTCAAGAGTAGAGAAATGGTATATCAATGGAAGGAATTATGTTACAGAAGTATATGGAAGTTACTTACCATCTTTGTATATTTATAACATTTGTTATGGAATATTATGCATATGTATGGATTTATTCTGAATTGTTGTATCAAAGATAAGGATGCCTTACAAGAGAATAACTGGTTAAGGAATCATGGTTAAGTATGTGTCATATGATTAGAAAAGCTAGGTAAAAGGAAAAGCAAAAGAGAAGGCAAGAATGGTATGATAAAGGGATAAAAGTTGACTTTTTGGGACCAAAGTTCGACCAGTGTGATTTTGAGTAATTGAATAAATTTGGATCTGAAATTTGACATGCTTACAGATATCATTTTTATCTTTAAAAAAAGTGATAATTCATTAAATTTGGAGCTTTGTACAGAAAGTTATGTCCTTCCAAAGTTGGACATAAATTCTGAAAAATTGAAAAATAACCAAATGAATAGTACCACTTTGAACGAAATTTAGGATTGATATAGGAGATCTAGATACCAATGAGTATTTTTCTATTAAAGAGTATGTCAAGAGCTTTTCACGAAACTTAGAACCACTTCATTTTGACTTTTTTACATTTAGTTATGAATTTTCAAAATTGGCCCAAAATTCTGTGAATAGTGTACATAAATCCAAAAATAGAAATTTTAAAGTTGAAATTTTCCCATCCTTAAGCTTTGGGAAATGACTTTAAATGGTTCCAATTGTTACATAATAAGATAATAAAGAAGGTGTGACAAACTTCATATCAAATCATTCCAATCAATAAATTAATGCATTATGCCAAGGCATACTATGCAAGAAAATCAAACACATTATCATCAAACAATTTCAAATAACATATGGCATATATTCCAAGGATAATATCATGTAATAATTAAGCAAGTCAACATTAAAATTGTAAATTCCATGCTGCCTCTTTTAATCCACAATTTTGGCCTCTCTCAAGACTTGGTACCCCTTTTTGTTTTCTTGCACAATGCCTATCAATTCAAGCATAAATACATTCCAAATTACCAACAATTCAAGCATAAACACTAATACTTGACATTAAGTTTAATTAAACCCCTTTTCCTTGATTTTTGATATAATTAATTTCTCTGTGTTTCCATCAATCTATTGGGCCCTACACAAATTTTCATGTAGAATCCAAATATCAAATCAAATTTAACAAAATCATACTCCTCCTCCTTCAATTCACTTTGGCCAAATATGTAGGGTTTATATTCTAAAATTTTTATTTTTGATTCCAATGATTTTAAACACTTTTCCTTGGTGTTTTCCTACACAAAAACACCTTTTAAACTCATTGGAATCATCAAATCATATTAAAACAAACTTCTACCTCAAGAAACCATAGTGCCTGAATAGGGCTATATAAACCCTAACTTTGATTTCTTCCAAAATCAATCTAAACATCAATTAAACATGATAATTCTAACTCATTTTCAAGGCTTCTATCCTTCTATAAACCATATTCAATCTAACCAAAAATGGGCAGCATAATAACCTCAAGTTACAACTTGAATTTTAAACCAAAACAAGCTTTAAACTTAACCAAAATCATGCTCAAACTTACCTCAATTAATCCTTCATCAAAGCTTGATATTTCTTGTTCCAATTGTATGGTTAAAGGCCCTCTCTTAAGGTCGAGAATTCAGTTTGGCAGTGTCACACCTTACTTCTATTATATATTAGAGTCCATTTAGAATCATTTCTGACTACTTTGGATGGCCTTAAGCTCATAAAAACGTAATTAGGACATTGATCTACAGAAACATTGTTCACTTAGTAATTTTAGATTTTCTATCCGACTTTAAAAATCCATAACTAATTCTCAAGAAATCAGAACAGAGTGGTTCCAAGTTCTACTAAAAGTTCTTTGAATTCTCTTTCAAGAAAAAATAATCTTAAGAACTAATTTGGTGTGAAACAGTGCCTTATTTACACGAAAGTTATTACTATTCTATTAGTTAAAAACTTTTTCCAGAATTCAAACCTTAACTTTGAAAAATCACCATAAATCATATAGATGTCTGAAGTAAATATTCTACCTATTGATTTGAAGCTCAAGATGTGAACTATAAACATACCAAATTTTAGAATTTAATTCATCCAGTGAAATAGTTAAAACACAGCCCTAGGTCAATAGCTTACTAGGGTTACAACATCTATGCATACATTGTTATACATTGCCAAAAGACAAGTGGTTTCATGGTTTATACACCATTCATTCCTGAATTTTCTTCTTCTTCTTAGATAGTTCAACCCCTAGAATATTGAATTACATTTGGAAGGAATGAGATTTCATTAAAATCCCAATAGCAAGATAAATCAACCATAACATCAAATATGCATCATCATCAAGCATTTCAGTATTAGCTATCATTGGAGAACTAATTCTCTCATAACTAGGCAATATCTAACAT